CATACCACATTTGTATCACTTCGTAATAACACACGAGTTGAAATCTTATACTGTACTTTCATTCTTGATTCTTCCATTGATCGTGTAAGTGAAAATTGACTTAATTTTGAAAGTAGCTCATTTTGAATGGTTACAAGCTTAATTTCTCTGCAAAATCAATAAGAAAACCATTTTAAAACATGCGGTTTATTAAACAGGTTGTGAATTATCGTAAGCCAAAATATTTTCTGCAGAAAATGACACAGTTCAAGCTACTGATTCTTTCACTATTTTTAATAGTTTCATGATTTCTATGACACCAGGCCAGGAAATATTAATATGTGCTATCATTAAAAAAATCAAACAGCACATCAAATTCTGAGTTCAGTCGCTGCAGTCAGATTTTTTGATGCTTTTGCTGGTGGGGCAGACAGGGGCCACTTGTGCTTTTAGGGGGCACAATTTTAAAATTAATCTTAACCTACTTTAAGTAGCCTATTATTCATTCAGTCATTTTTCACCATGTCATGTATCGCTGCAATCTCTAGAAGTAATCTATAACAATTTAAACTAAAATGAATGTTTCATCATGTTTCATATATTTGACAAATAATTTTGTATTGTAGTGTCAAGGGCATCATTTTTGAGGGGGCACGAGTGAGGGGGGGGGTCTCTCATGCTTATTGTGTGACACACAGCAGCCACAAACTGATATAGGCTTATGTCCCTACTGTACTGGAAAAAAAAAAACAATAAAACCATCACAGAACATTTTAATGTGTTCCACGACAAATAACATTACAAACTGTAAAACCATTACAAATTTTCTAATGGTGTTTATAGTTTTTTTTTGTTTGTTTTTTCAGCAGGGTTTTTTTTTTATTTGTTATTTCTATTCAAAATATTTCCAAAATATATCATGAAATATCTCGATTCTCAAATATGTGCAAGCAAATGCAGTTTGCACCTTTATAGATTGTATGTTAGTTCTCTAGTAAAGTAGCCTAATAGTGTCACGATGATCTCTGCCTGCACTGAATCCTGCCAACCCGGATCAAACTCACCTGCCTGTAGCTTTTAATAGCCTGATTTTGAAGACCTTGATTAGCTGGATCAGGTGTGTTTGAGTGTAGAAGCCAGTAAGAGCTGAATGCTGCGTTATGCCGATTTCACACCGCAAGCGTGAGCAGCGCATTTTTTTATTTATTTATTTTTTTTGCGGCGTGCTGGTGCGTGCCTGTTGGACGGGCTGGTGTTGTACCCATTTTCGACCCCCTGCAAAATTATTACCCCTCTCGTTGAAATCGCTATCTGATTGCCTAATCCTAACCCCACCCCTAATCCTAACCCCTCCCCCACACCTAAACCTACCAATACTAGGGGGGTAATAATCTGGCAGGGGTCAGAATTGGGCACAACACCCGCAGTGGTCAATATAATTGATTTTCAATAGGCTAGCTTTTAAAACCTTGGTAATACCACGTGGTATGGATTATATACTGGAATAAAGAGAACAATACATGTCAATAGACATTGAATTGAAACGTTGATATGCAGAGTTGTATATCAAACTTGGCAGATTTAAACAAATGGCCAAAGAGGGCCAAAAAAGGGTGCACCCCTGGATCATCCAGGCTGGATGTGATGCCCCTGGGAATATGCCAAGTTGTCCATAAAGCCCGGACACACTGCATGATTTTCGGCTGCCCTAGACGAAATATGTCTATTGTTAAACAATCGTGGCTTCTATCGGTGTCCTACACTCTAAAAAATGCTGGGTTAAAAACAACCCAGTGCTGGGTAAAATAGGGACAAACCCAGCAATTGGGCTGTTTTGACCCAGCGGTTGGGTTAAATGTTTAACCCAACATTCTGGGTAGTAACCCAACCGCTGGGCCAAAACAACCCAATTGCTGGGTTTGTCCCTATTTTACCCAGCACTGGGTTGTTTTTAACCCAGCATTTTTTAGAGTGTACATTGTACAGTGAGAGAGGTTCAAAGACGGCCATTGTCACCGTCTTGCGAACAAAGATAGGCTACGATAATTTTCTGAGCGTCGGAAATTCAGCATGATCATCGGAGAATGTGCCAGCCAAAAATGCAACATGAAAAGTAAAACCTTTTTAATTGAAAAAAACCCAAAACAATAGCAACTATTGTCAAATCATAATACAGCAACAATAACAATCCAGGGCCATTCAGTCTTTCAGTCCAGAGAAAGTCCTTCAGCAAAGACATTGTTGCAAAGCCATCAATAGATTGAAAATACATTTTTATTTCAAGTTTAAATATTAAAAAGAGAGAAAAAATACATTTATGAATATGATATTTGGCTAAAAGCAAAATAAGGTTTATGAAATAGGTATCACTTTAATTTTCACATCAATGAAAACTATTTAATTTCTAAGCATATTTAAAATTAGGATTTACCTGACACTTGATAAAATCAAAAATGTCACACCAAAATATCGTTATGTAAGAGTAATTTCAAAATAAACGTAATGTTTCAGGTTTCTCTAAACCGAAAGAACAGTTGGTATATATATCGTTCTTAAGTCTTATCTGGGTAAAATCTATTAATCAACTTAAATGTAATTTATTCATTTTGGTAGTTGTGAGATAATGGCCAGACTTTCTTCAGGGGATATCACTTACAAAACCATTCCAGTAGGAGATTACATAAAGCATTGAAACACACTCCTTCTGAAACAAAAGTGAAAGTGTGTTTCACTTTCAAAAGGCCCTGTTTACTTACAAATGTTTTGCACAGATCCACTGAGTGACAAGAGATTTGAAAAAAAAAAAGACCTCTAAAGAGCATGAGAACTCCATGTGGCACTGCTTCAGCAACAATTGCAAACTCTTTTGGACAAACAGGAATATTCCATTCTTAACTAAAAATGCAGTTTTTACAGATTGAATTACAGATTGAACCAGTTTGATTGAAACCCATTTTATTGATTGATTGATCCCATTTTAAACCAATTTTCAAAGAAAGGGGATTTGTGTAATACAGTAAATTCTTATTATCCCAGATTAGATATGACTAATGAACAGAACATTTGGAATATTACTATCGCTAATATCACTAGTGATTTTACACAGTCCATACTAATTGAAATCTCAATACATTGTAGTTTACAGTAAAAAAAAAAAAAGAAAAAATAAGTTTAATTAATTTAAAAACCAGTCCAAAAACACTAAAAAAAAAAAACATTGCAGTACATTAAAAGCATGTTTGCTACACTATTTATTGAATATGTTTTATGTTTCTGTAGTGTTTTTTTTTTAGTGTTTTTAGACTGTTTTTTAAATTAAACTTATTTTTTCATTTTTTTTGAACACACACAGAACTCAACACAATCATGAATATTAAATGGAGCACTAATGGAAGTGATCTCAATTTTGCAATGTAGAAAATCAACAATGCTTCACAGAACATGTAATGAGTGACAAATTCTATTTAGAATTTATTTTGGGTCTGTTAAAAGACTGTGTTTAGCACCAATGATGAAATGTTGAATTGAAATTTTACATAATGTAAGGGATCAGTCTCATGTGACACTAATAAATTATTTGTTAAAAGCTGCCAAGGTTAGAAAATAATGTGTGTACTGTACATTATAAATATATTTCATTCAATGTAAAAAAACATGTCGTTCTTGCAAATCATAGAACATCTTTCATAAGTTTCATAATATATAGTTTAAGTGGTTTTGTAACATAACGTCTCAGGTTACTTATGTAACCATGGTTCCCTGAGTAGGGAACGAGCCAATGCGTCCTCTAGGGGTCGCTATGGGGAACGCCTC